TTAATAACACTGAGGATTACACTGGAAATAGCTGTTTAAAAGGAGTTAAAAACATAGTTTTATGAAGTAAATCACCTTCCTATAAACCGAGCGTTATACAGTAGCGTTCGAGACATAACAACGACGGCCTACCGTCGTTGTGTTAACTTTTGTCTACTTATAACAATAATGCCTAGAAATAACAAAACCGTTCTTACAAACATTTGCACGACTTTTTCAATGAATTTGAAAATGTTTTAGAGATTTGTGCCGATCTAGCCATATTTCGTCGCACCATGGTATGCCCTGTTGGGGCACTCGGATCGATGATATCGATACCGGTTTGCTCTGGCACGCGAACTCAAGCAATGTAAGTTCTACGTCTAATTACGACTTAAACTGATCAACCATCTTACCTGTTCCTTTCATTTGACCGCCTTGAGAAAGCTCTGGCACAACGATAGGATATCGTACGTTCGCGGTTTCGCTTGTTACCTGTTTGAATGCGTAACACCGCTCATACTAAATGTCTCTCATCTTGTCCTTCACCTAAAGCTGAAAAGCACAGCCTCTCAATGTAGAATCTGTGTAGGACAGCTAAAGGCGTTTATGATGCTTACTTACCGGTATTGACTGAGTCTGCTGGCTGGCGATCGGAACCGTTTCCGTCACGACTGGTGAAGGCAAGCCTTTCTGTGCCGTGACGTGCTGGATAAGCCCATACTTATGCGCATACACGGGATGCACAAGCAAAATGTAGGTGGCAGCGGGTCGCTTTTATAGGCCCAATACGCCAGAAAGGCCCGCGGTTTCCGTTCTGTTCAAAGACCCTTACTATAGACGCTAACGTAAACAGTATCACTCGAAGGAATAAGCAACGACTATCCACCGTTTTAAGCATGTTCATCATTAGTTGACCATCCCAATGAATTTATCGCGTCGATAGAGAAAATTCAAAACACGACACATACAAAACACAAACACACATGTATGTATGTATGTATGTATGTGTGTGTGTGTGTGTGTATATACGGGGACAGCATTTCTAAGTCATATATTTTCCCTTGCGCCGACCGACCATTTTCCCTTAGCTGGTCTTTCTCATGCTAAGGAAGCTTGATTCAGAACAGGTTGTACATTTGTCTGAGTTATGATAATGGTAACGCAATATCTTCAGAACAGATATCCGATTAGACGTGTGAGCCCTCTGTAACGTGCAACGCATACTACAACCCTTGTCTTTTCCTTGTTGCGGATAACGAATACCCAACATCGCCGAGTTAATTCCCTGTAGAAGCGGTTGCATTTTATTGTATACCGCTGTGCCTCTCGAATGGCGCTGCCATCAGCGATAAGTGAATCACCTTGACGGTTGTAAGACGGACCGCTGACTACGGTGATAATGATGATCAGTAAGAGAGGTAAATTTATAACTTTAAAGCCACAGCTTTTAGATAGTGCAGTGGAAATGTATTTGCCTATCATATTTAAGGGTGCGCCGTAGTCTTGGTTTGGATACGAGCGTAGATACACTTCGTTTCGTGCCGCAAGACACCAGCCGTCTGAAGCGACGCATAGTGGCGTAAATAGGCGACGCCGAACTCGAAAACATATATTTCAACCGAGCAAATCTGCAATAATTTGCTCCGAAAATGTTCCGAGGAACTCTTCAATTAAACGAAAAGAAAAAGTTTTGCTGCATCTCATGAGTCCTTACGACAGAAGGGCAATTATTCTGATCGAATTCCCGACAGTATCATCTGCGTACCCAAATTATCTTGCATATCTTCTCGTTGACGTGTTCGGACCGCTCAAGCTATTACAAGCTCAAATCATCTATAATTAACATGTAGCCATTTTAATACTTCAACTAATGTGCCAGGGTAACGTGATCTAGGCTTCAATGACCAATTTCGTACCTGCCTTTTGTCTACAATATGCCGGCTTCCACTAAACATACATTTCGGCAAACAGATGAGGTTTTTTCATCCATGAGTTGATCGAAACAACTTTACGCGTACGAACGGAACGTATCCAGTGTATGTTGGATGCTTCAGCAAATTTTTTCAAAAAATCTGTATCTGTGATTAATATTTGTGTGTTATACACAGAAAACTAAACGGTCGCCCAGCTGCCTTCAAGCCGAGTCGCTAAGTGGACAGTACACTATCAACTGTTCCCGCATGTTCTCAATGATGTACTTGGCAGAAAATTATGTTGCATCAGTGAATAAATACACTTTGCTGCAATATATAAGGAGCCGAGTGGGGATTTCATGATGTAGAAATTTTAAGTCCATGTTGGGAGGGGGCAGTCTTTAACTGGTTGAACATTTTTATACGAAGAGAAACTACCGGTTGCTGTGTGAATTCAGCTTTCTAGGTTAACCATCTTCAGGTCAGCTGTTCTAAAATGATCGATGCTACTGATACTGGACGATCAGCCTTCAGCCACCGAAGTACCTTAAATTTTGGTTCGTACGTCCCATTCGTCAATATATATTTTAATCGGATTACATACTGAGTAGATCTACAAAAACTTGATGACAAATGATCGAAACGTGACAGCGATACGCCGTAGTACAACTAGGGCACCTCAGATCGAAAAAAATAACCTCTCCTAGGCGATCCTGTGTAGCATATGGAACGATGAGTCAATGTAATGTTTTTGTCCTCATTAGACAACTACTTAACGAGATTTTATCTCCTATCGACCTGCCACTAGATACACTGTGAATCACTCACATAGCCATACACCGCATGCCCTGCCCTTAGTATCTACAGTTTATTTGCGTCTGTTCAGGTATTTTAACCGATATATAGCCAAGACTCGCCAAGTATCAAATGACTTTTGCCCCACCCTATATATATGCCAATTGTTTTACTTACTTCACTGTTTTGGCCTGACAAGTTTGTGTTCCTCTGCTGGTGGCGCTAGGACAGCGAGACTGGGCGGCCACACAGCTGAAAGAATGAGTGGTCGGCGGCGCTCGTAAGGCTGCCTGAGCCGCAGTGGCGATACTAACAAACAGAAAAGCGCAATGTGTTTCCATGATGGCGGCGGCCGCGGCAATGGTTACCAAGGAGGAGAGTGAAAGCTTTAAAGAAAAGCAAGTGTTCTCATTCGCTTATCGGGTCTCCTGTCTACGATCCCCTTTTGACGCCTCTGCTTGGCATCGTCGTCAGTCCCTCGGCCCTCTCTGATTTTGACACAATTCAATACAAAGATTACATAACATGCGTTTCGCCAAAAAGCGGCCCTGGTTCTTTCATATAGTTTTGCTGCGATTTCAAAAGTAGCCTGTCTTTGGTCTAAAGCCGAATGTCTGTTGAGAACACCTCTTATTGCTCTGCCCGCTTTACTTAATTTTGAAATGATTATATAATATATGCAGTGTACATTGAAATGAATGAGTGGAAGTATGTGTAACCGCGTCCTGGATGTGAGCACTGACTCCGATTATGATTAGTAGAAAATTGGTTGGTAAACAGAGGTGTGCGTGTCCTATTAATGGTAGCCACAAGACGATTTTTGGCCTTTGCAATAAAAAAGGAAACGATGCTATTCATGGAGTCCTTGTGACGAATGCGTGTGCCAAGCTATGCTCCATGCTGTATAGGTTAGATGGCCTTTTAGCCCATTCTTGACTTACTTATCGTTGTTGTTCTTAATTAAATTTTGCCAGAAGTGAGTAAACAAACCAAACTGCTGTCGAAAGGCATGTCGAATTGAGAAGGCTTTTCTGGCATACCCTTTTACAATGATGGTCTTCCTAGACTAACTTTTGTACTTGCTAGTAATAATAAAGCTACTAAAAAATTAATTCATCTTAGTCGTTATTGGTATTAGTATCGTCTAACTGTTAAATTAAAGCCTCATGCGATTTAACTTAGCTGAAAATGGCCGTTGACTCCGACTAGGAATGAACATCCCTAAGACTGTATTTGAGATACGCACCCGTAGTATCGTAGATAGATACTGTATTATCATGCGCTATTGTTTCATTATTCTTGATAGTGACACAGTTATAATCGCCGTTGTTGCTGGTGCTCTAGGGGTGTTAGCTACGTTGTAGCAATTAAGCCCAGCATCGTTATCTACCCTAACCGACCCAAAATAAAAATAGCGGGTAGCCAGGTTTAGCCAGGTGGCAACAAGTATGACGTGTTGCCGATTCTCCACGAACTCGAAACCGCTAACATCCGGCGAGTCTCCATCAAATACAAGCCATTCCGCTTCAAAGTTCTCTCCTCCAATGAACGTCTCCTAGTATTTTATTAAAGCTATTCATTCGAACCTTCTCTCTTACTTATTTACATCCAGACACTCTGCCACCGTGTCAATGGCTGGTTGTCGCCGTTGTAATCGCTTTCGAACCGAAGAAAATTGTCTGTCGGCCTCTGCTGGCTTTTGAATCCTTACGGTTTGTTCTGTTGTTACTGCTTTCCTGTGATTGCATTGCCTAAGTTTGAATTGCCGATATCGCTGTTACTGTTGCTATGGCACATACACATAAGTCTACCTAGTGGTTCTCTGTTGGTCTTGGTTCGTCTGTCTACTCGACCTACCAGACCTGTCTCTGTCGGTTAATGGTGCCTGGCTTGGTAACTGACTCATGTTTACCCGTTTGCTAACAACGACCATAGCTACGTTCTGCAATGGAACTAGCAGTGATAATGAGCGCAAGCGACTCTGGCGGCAGCAACAGCGTCACCAGCGGCGAGACTGTGCGGACCGTTGTTGTCGTCGTGGCCGTCAGCTACGCTAATGTTAAACCTACGGTGGTAAAATAAGGCGACCGGCGGCGGTTTTATTACTGATGATGATTGGGGCAATGGTAGCTACTACCACTGCTACTGCGGCTGGCGCCGCGGCGGCGCCGCCGCCGCGGCGGCGACGACGGCCCGGTAATGGTGGCGCTGCGATCGCTCGGGCCCTTTCCCGCGGCGGGCTCACAGTCGAGTCAGTCTTCAGTCAGTCGGTCGTGTTTACGCTGGCCACGCTGGTACTACTCACGCCTTTCTCGCACGGCACGCAAAACTCATGCGCACACACTCTCAAACTCTTACACAAACTACGACAACGACGTCGACGACGACGACGACGACGACGACGACAACTACTACTACTACTACTACTACTAGTTCTCAGCTACTTACTACCTGGCCAGTTGTATACATGCACAGAAAAAGAAGTCGGGTCGCTGGCCGGCAGCGGCAGTTCAAGCTGAAGCTATACAGCTAAGGAGCCAGTCTATGTAAAGAAACGAGCACCCATTGGCGGCTTTCGTTGTCTTTCCGTTTTCCTGCCTGCGTCGCTAACCCGGCCAACCATCGAGTAGATAACCAAGAAACGCAAGCGACGCCGATTACGCTGTAGTAGCTACGAGGAATAGAAGGCAGGAGGTGTTCGAGCGGATCAACGAACAAATTGTGCCTAGTCCCATGTTGCCCCGCTGTCCGTGCGTACGTTAAAAGGCGACAGCGGTAACGGTAACAACAGCCGATGAACGAAAAGCCGAGCGAGCGTCGACGAAGGCAGCTGCAGCGGCGACTGCAGCGACGCTGGGATTTTCAAGTAGTTGTTGTAGTACTTCTGCTTCTACCAGGCGATCGAGAGGTGACTGAGTGAGCGAGCGAGCGAGCGAGCGAGCGAGTGATGCTACGCAGGCTATGTAACAAAACAAAAGTTATACGAGATGTGCCCACGTAGCCCGAAGAGGTAACTGCCACTGAAGTGAGTTGAGAGAAGCAGTCTGAGGACCTTTTAGGACGACCACGCTCAGTGATACGATATCGTGCCTGTGCCTCGCATACACATCCAGATACAGACACGCACACATTGATAGAATAGAGGTCGAGGTATACACATATCTTTGTTACGAGTCCACGATCGTGGCGGGAGCAGCGAGTGGTGCTTATGCCGCTATTCGATCCCTTCGATAGTTTCTATTAACGTGAAGTTGATAGACGAACACATACCCAACAAAGTTGACTGGCCCATGTGTGAAACAGCAGCGACAAGAACAACAGCAACAGTGTTTGAGAATATGTCGTAACCGGGAAAGGCGCTCTTGCGCTAAGTAAGACCGGTCTTATTCGACATTTATTGCCTTCTTCGCCGACTGTTTCACTGCTCAGTCCCATCTGCTCGAAGCAACAAACGGCACCAGTTAATTATCATGTTCAGTTAATTGTTTTACTTAAACTTTTTCGGTGTTTAGATCGCCATTGCTTTATTGGTGACAATGTGATTCCAGCCATGGTAGTGATTGGGTGCGGATGTGAGGGTTACGCGAGTCTCGTCCTTAGTCACTTTTAGTGTGGGTAGCTGATGCAAGTTGCGAAATGGGCGGTTAAGTCTCAATCGGTTGGCGACTGTTCGGGGGTGGTGTCGTGCCGATACGACAGCGTAGCGTAGGCTACTCACGATAGAGGAGTCTGGGATAGGAAGGAAGAGGAGTATTTCGAGGTCGAGCTGAGTAGCGTCGCGTACAACAGCAACAAGTTATTATCGAAGTGCAACAGGTTAAGCAAACAAATGAAGGATCGTGTCGTGTGCGATTCGGAGTAGTGACCAAATGAGTCCACCTCTGCGGGATACATTAGGCTATTCTAACGATCATTATACGACGATCAAATTCATATCTTCGCCAATATTAATGCTACCGTTATGCAAGATTGTACTGGGCTGGCTATGCCTTTCCTCTTCAGTAGCCATTCGCTTGTCACTGGCTTACCACATCATGTCCTTTATTAATCCGTTCTACTGCTGCCGCCGCCATTGATGATTTTTGTGATAATGGCAATGGTAGCGACAAGATACATTGCGGCCGTCGCATAGTGTATCGTGTCACTGGTACAGAACCACTGCTGTTCTTGGCGCGTGCTGCTCACTGCCTTTGACACTGCTGTGGTCTTTGGCCGTTTCTTGTTCGCTCGTTCTATGCAGCACGACGACGACGACGACGATAAGGCCACGCACGCAGCAGCAGCAGCAGCTGCAGCCAACAATGGGCAGCGATGAGCATTAGTATGTGCTGCCGTGAACTCGGCGGAGGCGAAAACCAAGAACTATCGTTATCGCTACCGCCATCCCCGCAACGCTAGCGGCAGACGGGCAGGCAAAAGCTACGGCCGCTCTACTTGCCTTGGCTGGCTGGCTGGCTGGCTGGCTGGCTGGCCGACCGACTCCCTGGCTCTCTGATTAGTCGAAAGCGAAGCTTTTTTTGGTGGTCTTTAGTGCTACCACTAGTATACGTATAATCTGTATTTACGTGGTAGCTCTACCAACGCTATGATCGTTCTAGTGTTACTTCATTCAGTTAAAGTTTAGCTTAGCTTGATCGGACGGTCCGCTAGTCTATGCTGTTGCTGGTTTCGCCCATTTATAATACGATATCGATTAGCTCTGTATAATAGCAATGACAGCAAGATATAGAACAGCGAGCGAAACACAAATAACAAAAAGAAGAAGAAGCTACAGACCGATGCTGCTGTTTCATTTCAGTGTGAAAACTATTCGAATCCTACGTACGGTAAGTGACGTTGTTAAGCATTACTCAAGACGACTGATGGGCCTTTTTGTATCGAAACGTAATGTTCCTATATGCGCCTAGCCTATTCCACGCGTCCCTAAGGACTTCGTCGCCAGACGCGGCCGGTGCTGTAATTTTAAACTGAAATACTGTAGTTATCGATGCTGCTGACATTGATGTCGCTGCCGCCTCGAACACCAAGAACCTCCGGCGGTAATAGTGGGGCTTTTCTTTGAGGGGCTTAACCTTCAGCGGGTTAACTAAGTGATGGACTGCCGACTCGCGTCTGAGAAGCACGATCACCGTTGCCAGTGTTCCATTGCCTGAACCGTCAGCTCGAGCCACCATCGACAACTCGCGCATGCTGGCGAGCTCTTATTTCAGTGCGGCTGCTGACTGGGATCGTGTCCACGAACGTTAGCCGTAACCACGCTACATGCGTACACACACAGAAACACAATTGCAGCAAACGAGTTTGCGGCCGAGGCCGTTGTCTGCGTGTGGGAACAGTGAGCAGCGCCACCAGATACGCGCGTCCGCTCCACCCATATGGCTTCCAACCTCCTACAGGGCTTAACTCGTAATGGGCCGGGTCGCTAGCAGGCGCCTATAGGCAGGGTGAACGAACAGCCACAACACGCGGGCGTCCCTAGCAAACCACGGTTCAGGCGAGGTGTCGACTGTCAAGACGCCAGGGATTCGGGTAGCGTTCTTAACCGATATCTGCAGCAGCAGTAGACACTATCAGATACTATGGGCCTAGCACACCACACGACGTAAGCCGTGGTTAACGGCCAAACGCTACCTGCTCTAATTGCTTATAGTATAGCTGGCGTTGCGGCACGCGTGTTCTGTACGAATATATCCCGTTCGCGTCGGGCAGACAAAGGGCGTACAAACATAGAAAAATAGACACAGCCACAGACAGACCAATGGGTAAAGGTGAGTGACTTAATTTCATATTGTTCACTTTGCAATGTCGCTATATTTCAGCATAGCGAGTAGTGCACTCGACAACTGTTAGAAGCAGCTCGACGTCACCATCAATTATTTGCGCTCAATGGTCTTTGGTGGCTGACGCAACTATATCGGCCACCCGAGATCGACTTGGCACCATTAAATCATCATTCAAGTGGCCGCAGTTGACATTGTGCGACAAAGTAATACCTATAGCTGATTGGCTGGCGGGCTGGCTGGCCATCTTTTAAAAGTAATTAGTGTGATTGTGACAAGGCTGAGCGGTGCTGGTAAACGCCTCTATCTAATGAACTTCCTGCTCTATCGGCCTGCGTACCGCACGCAGTATGCACGCAGTTTGCACGCATTTCCTTTCATCTAGACGTCTCAAATATTCGTTAGGGTCCGCGCGGGTATCTCCTGAAAGATTAATACCAATAGAATCATAGATTCTGTTACTGCTGCAACGATCACTGGAACAAACGAGGATTGCACTACTGTTAATGGGCAGGACCAACAGTTGAGCCAACGACGTTCACTCACGCTTTCTACTATTCCGGTGTATGCGTGTTGCGCGTCAAAGATTTGAAAATCATTATCAGTCACAGTGATCCGAAGGAGAAGAACGGCGAATAGAGGGTCATCAGTCGATGTGTTTGGCAATGTCCTGCTATCAACGGTTAAATTAGAATTGTTACTCAATTCAAAAGAGTGAGATCGATTAAAATTCGACCTGAGTTGCTATGCCATTAGTAATCGTTCAGTGTGGACATTGCGGAAGTGGCTGGAGAAAAATGTTCTAGATGAAAGTCCAACGACTGAACTCTGCAAGGTGGGCTGAGCGCGTGCAAGAAGCGACATACGAAAAACCCGCTCAGTATAAAAAGAAAAGCCATGCACTCCACTGATGCTGGCTGAATGAATTGAGTAACACAGTTCGGGAAAATATCGCGGGAAATGGGAGCTGGTTAACTGAAAGGTGTCATCAAGGGGGCGATGTCCAATAACAGCGCACAAGTTCATCATCCGAGTCGAGATACACTACAGAGGAGTGAGATAATGTGACTAAATATTTCCCTTGTCTTCTTCTAGCAACTTTGACAATCGTGTTGATATAATTGCGTAGTGATATGATCACAAACCGAAGCGCCAACTGGATCTCAGTGGCCACACTTGTTGAGTATCGTCAGCGAAACAAGGATCAGCTGCAGGTTCAAGACGTTTGTCTGCATCGATCATCACTTCTGTTGGTGTCATTTGTTTTCATACCGTCTTTGCCATTACCATTTTCTTCATTTAGCCCATATGAAACAGACAGAAACCGGCAGTGTGACCAATCAACACGCACAAACAATAGGCGTTCGCGTTTTGTGGATGGCATCGTCATCGACAACCCGATTCTAACAACTATCGGACATTTATCCCTGGGCTACTCTCTTCGACGTATACCGATCCGGCGCAATCATACTGTAAGCACTAGTGCCCGGCATGTCCAACCCAGCTCCGGAGCGCCCGGAGTCCACCATCAACGTTGTGGACGACGACGACAGGCCGGAGACCTCTTCAGCCAGTAACGGAACCGGAGCTAATTATCTAGGCGCATTTCATACCGCTGCTGCAATGAGTCCACCAATCGCACCGGCTCTCCAGCATAAATTGGGCTGGCCGCTTACGTTCCCCGGGCCATACGGAAATGCACCGGCCAGTCTCAAGCCAACCAATGACATTGCAAACCGTTTTCAACTGCTCAATCGAGCCTTTCCTCCGAACTTGGTCGACAATCAACAAGCTCTGTTTCGAGCGATGGCCCACGCGCAAGGCCAGATAGGATATGGGTCCGTTCCTTTCGTGCAACACACTGAGCCGTTAGCAAAAGCTTTCGACGTACCCTTTAGGGCACCTGTTTTCGACGCCACTGCCGCTGCCGTCGGACGCCAGTTCGTCGACAGTCTTGGTCAGGCGAGACCTTTGGTGGTTGATCGAACAGTACCTGTATCTTCAATCGAACCTGCCACCTTGAACCAGAGCTCACAACCACAGGCAACTGCCGCCGAAAAGGATCAAGGTTCTAGTGTAGGCTCCACGCGTAAACCGAACTGCGCGCGCTGCCGAAACCATGATGTAAAGGTGGCAGTAAGGGGACACAAACGTCATTGTCCCTACAGAGATTGCGAGTGTGACAAGTGTATATTGATTAAGGAACGACAGGTGATTATGAAAAAGCAAGTAGCATTGCGGCGCCAGCAAGAGCAGGACGAGCAAATGGGTTATACTGTGGTACGCACCTTGCCTACAGTTGGCGCCAGCGTATCGGACTCGCCGCCGGCACCTCTAACGCCGACAACGCCCACTGCCGCCTCAACTCCTACGTCAGGTCCTTCGCCATCGCCTGCGGTACCAACATCAAGTCCTGTTGAGGTAGCCTCCGTCGGCGACGTACTTTTAGGCGGGTCGTCCGCTTGTCCAGCACCAAGTAATCTCGGCCTCTCTAACTCAAGCTTCGTTGGACCTCTTCAAAATCTTCAAAGCGTCCGTGATATACCCTCTGCGCCCAGCTCGTATCTAGCATTTTCTGGAGACTTACGACCTATGACTATTCCAGAATTGATTCGGCGCTCCGAAATTTCTGAGCGGGTAAGTCCGTCCTCTCCGTCGATGGCTGATAAGATCCCTGACACCAACTTGAGGCGATCTAGCCTATCGGAAGATGCTGATGCTTCACGAAGTCCACGTTCGAGAAATTCCAGTCCCCCAAGTGGGGGTCCGCCTGGAATTCTACCTATGGCTGGGTTAAGCGAGTTGCGCGACGGGGCTCATCATGGGCCTTCTAACGTGACATATCGGCTACCTCCGGTGGCGAGCACCTCTAATCAACGAGCGATCAACGTGGCAGACAATATTCTCACGCGTATGACAGACATGCCGCTAGCAGGCGCTGCCGTAGCTATGACAGGTTCTCCTGTGCAAAGCCAAGATCCACGACGACCTTATCTGTCTGGATCACCACCAAACAGCCGTCCTTCGTCGCACAATGACAGTCGAAGGAACTCGTTCGAGGGAGTTGGCGACAGGGCGAACGTCAACGCGCTTTCGGGTCAGCCCAAGATACCAGTCCAAGAAGACCTTCAACGAGGAAACCCTTTGTGCGTCTCACAGCTAGCTGATACTTCTATTCAGCAACAGGGAGTAAGCGGACATATACCTAAAGATTTCCTTCGTGCGCCAGTAACAACTCATGAGGGTACTTCACACCCGCGTGAACCCCATATTACACGTGACTCTAACCAATCGGATCTGCCCCCCATAAAGCGGCGTCGTCTGCAGGCAAGTCCCACGTCGGCCTTCTCTACACTCGGTAAGTTCATGTTTTACTACGGGATGGATAAAGTGGATTAAGAATTATTCAGGCCAGTGTGAAGGAATTCCTAACTGTACTAGACGTCGTTGAAATCTAGGCATTGGCTGTGGGTAGCGTACAAATATGGTGACTATTAAAAACTATGCCCACAAATTAGATTCTCTTGCATCACGACGTGGTTATTGTACATTCTTTTTGCGACGTCCAGTTTTAGCGGATCGAAGGGTCTAGTTCCGCTCGTTTATTCGCCTTATTCATCACTTGCTGTTGGCTATGACAAAATGCAGCTAGCAAGCGTTTGCTTCATTTCAAGTCACATTAGAATTACAGATAGACAGTTATTTAGTACTGATTACAATATATAGGAATATTTGTGCGAATTTTTTAATTATCGAGTGGAGGGCTCAGAAAAGAGGCATACCTTTGGGAGCCTCCTACCTTATCCCCCGCCGTTGTGGCCAGTAAATAATAATGTTGGCTGAGTGCGTTCGCTAGTAGCTATAGGTAGACAGAGGAAGACACAGATCATTTATCATACGTCCCGCCTGAGAGTTCATGCTCTGGTTAGCCAAATACACTCTCTGTGCGGTGTTGCGGGGGGGGGGGGGGGGATGTTTGTTTTCCCGCTTGAGCAGTCTGTAGAGTGGCAGCTCGCTCCCCTTTTCACCTGCACTGCAGACAATCGTCCAGCTCCAACGAAACATCAGGCCGCCGAACCGCTCACCGTCTGCCGAACCATAGAAGGCCCCGGCAACAGTCAATAGAGAAATGCTAGTTCGCTGCTTGTCTTGCTTGCCACACCGCCGGTTGTCCCGCTGGGTTGGTGGGGTAGTAGAGAAGAGTGAGGTAAGGGGCGCGACGGCAGGAACTAGGACACGGCCGTTAAGAAGGAGGTGGGAGGGTGCGAGGTTTAGATGATGGGACCTCATGAAAGAACATGTCTGAGGACCTCCTCAAGGAGAGAAGGTGGGGAGGCCAACACTGCCATACCAACGAGATGCGGCAGCAGCAATAACATGGGAAGGGTGTAGGAAACAAGGGAGGGAGGGAAGGCGTCAGGACTACGCAACGCAATTGCTTCCCAGTTGTGTGCCGCGTCCAGCTCCCATCCGGCCGCTATTGGCATGGCACCGAAGTCACCCAGACCACCGTGACCACCCCGGCCTCAAACGCAAACCCAGACTCACCCTTATGATGACGACGACGAAGACCACCGCGATCACAACCGATGCCTGACCGCTAAATCCTCTGCCTTGATATTCCTCCTTGTGTGTCATCTACGTCGTTTCGAGCGCCTGCGCTCCTTGTTACCTTCCGTCCCAGTTCATTCGCACCCTTTTTGATTCCCTACCACTAGAATATAATATGTAGACTGACGCCAACGTTAGCCAGTATAGTTACCTAGCAAGAGACGCCAAACTAGATTCATCGACCGGTAGTGGCAGCTATAGCTAAACTAGGGCGGAGAGAGGAAATTGGGTGTTAGGGAATTGGAGGTGGGCCTGGGTGGCGGACGGGGATAGGGCGATAGTTGTACTGGGAAGCTTGTGCGATAGTCTGTAGGGATAGCCCCCAGGCTGCCTGTGCAGTAGAACATACAACATCAGATGAAGAGTCGGGGCTGTGGAGTAGAGGAAACGTACAGCTTGGGTGCGCTGGCCCGGCATGAGCGGTTGAGGGCGAAGAACGTTGAGAAGGGTGGGGAGTTGCGACAGACAACTGTGGATGGCTGAGTGCTGGCCTGGCAGAATGCTAGTCGGATGGCTTCAGACAGGCTCAAGCTACTATTTGGCCAGCTCCTCTTTGAAGCTGTGTAGCTTCATCGGACGATAGCTGATGGTGGTGGTGGTAGTTTGGCAATCTACCGTTTTGGTGGCGGCGGCGGTAACCAGTAGGGCAGAGGGCGTTCGGGTGAGGGCACGTGGTTGTTGCACACTTATTGCCAACGTGGCGACAGCGGCAGCAGCAGCGGCGGCTGCAACGGCAGCAGCCGCGACGCCTATGAGTTCTTTAGCGCCTGCCGCTGCGGGACTGTGAGACATCCAGCCAAAGTTTATAGCCGTGCGCTGGCTGAGCCTAGGACAGGCGCCGCATCGCGCCTGCTTGCGGGCGCCGCTCCAAGACCGCCCTCTCCCCTCCCCATCTATCTAGCTAAAGCAATCCTACCTTCGTTGGCGAATCTGAAGGCGGGCTTCTACTCGGGCCCATCGTGAGGCCAGAGAGGTCGCAGGTCGGCGTACGTTCTGGGTATTGCGGTGCCTGCCCACATTCAAGTAGACTGCACAAGAAAGGCCTTTACGATAGTTAACTGTATGTTTGTTAGTTTCGTTAAGTTGCGAAGCGGGTATGTGTATGAGTGTCGAAAATGGGGGCCGAGTCTGTGTGTCCCTAAGTTCGCATGCGGGCTTAGTGAGCAACACACGGCAAATAAAGGACGTGGTCATGATGCACGAGGTATGTATGAAAATATGCTAGCTCTTCTCGAAAGGAAGGTTAGTAAAAACATTAGTCATTGCACTAAACCCAGCCCACATGTATTGCGATAGATGTATATTTTACATGGCTGGAGTTTGCGCAAACGGCAAAATAGCGAGGCCGCATTGAGACCGTGGTTTCATGGTCGAAACGCTGGTATAGTTACGCTAATATTAGGATACCTATGCGAGCAAGACCTGCCAACCGCGTATAAGGTTGAAGCTTGTACGACAGTTGATTATGTCCGTCAAATTATTCGACTTAACCAGTAGTAAAATGAGATAATCCGTCAGTACTACCTATCGCAGTATGCAGAAGCGCACATCTTCCCGTTCCGTTATGGCGGCTAATATATTGTTTCGCTCGTAGCCGTAAAAGTAACAGGTAACAACTGAGAACCATATTGCCGGCACAGCGGACATTTTGTGTGAGTCTGTCCTCTCTAAGTGAAACGCCGATTACTATCGTAGAGTAGTGGCTCCCCGTCGGCTTGTCTTTTTCTTGTTTTCGTTGTAACAATGTCTTGTTTTAGACAAAATGATACAGTTGGTGATTGTTATTATGATTACTAGAAAGACCATTTCAGCTGCACTGCAAGAGTTCTGTTCACTCATATCTGGCCACCGGCAAAAAACGAAAGGTCCGCGTGATCTACACCAGCTAACCAATAGAAAACAGCTATTATAGTTACGAGTCCTATACCAAAGTTACCAACGGCGTGGGTAGTAAAGAAACGGTATTTATCTTAATAAGAATCACATAGCGTATACAGTCGTCAGTAGCTCTATCTTTACCGAAAAATGTGACTAAATCGGTTACGCAATCATCACATTTGTTCGGGTCGAATTTGTGTGGTGTTTATTAACTTAACGGGATGCAAAAAAATAAAAAGATAGAATATATTGGAAAGAATTTCGAGGGTCAGTGACATTATGAGATATAGAACGCTTACGCGCTATGCTGATGTAGCAATAACGAAAGGAGCCAATCGCGTTGAAATGCTAGCCTTTGGGGCTCAACTCCGAACAAATATAATACTTGTCTCTGAATAATGTGCATGTGAATGTGAAGGTATAGGTGTGTGCGTCAGAAGCAATCGAGGGTTTACTAATGTCTGCTTTGACATCTCTTTATATACAATGAATACGCAAAGCCTTATTTGCAGCTGGTGTCTGGTCCGTGTGATTGACACACGGGTCATTGCGGAACTCCCTCTCATGAGCCAATCCTGTACCTATTTTGTGACATAGGGCCGCTCTAGTTCCACTCGCAAATAACGGTCCTGGCTGGTTTCTTCACTCCGTTGCTTCTATTGCAGTTGCCAATGCAGAGAAGAAACGAGAGAACCATTTAAACGTGAACGGCGGCCCCTGTATCGCTTCTATATGTTTATCATATTAAACTATTCCGTATCAAAAGTAACATAGCAAATTATAGCTCTCGAACTTTTTTACAGACGTTGTTCCCTTACTTGCATGCGAAATATGCACCGTTATTATCTATTACCTTCTGCCATTTGGATAATAACTTCATTGTTCCGTCGCTGTAGAAGTCCGAACTACGGAAGTTTAGGAGCCAATTTTGAAATGTTAGTATCTGAACTATTCTCCTATGAAGAGGCCGTTTAAATTTTTAAAAAATAGTAATATGTGGGGACGACCTTTGGTGTGAATAGAACATATGACAGAGGTTCCGAGTGTCATTACTATATTTTTGCCGTCGTGATTCTTGCGGTACGAAGTCGAGCGTTGTCCTGCACTAAAAGCTCTACTTCGTTGACTAACATTAGTAGAGTTCGTATGCTTTGAAATGCGCGGGTGTTAGTATTCAGGTCTGATGCTCTGGCTTCCGCCTTCGCAAGAGATCTTCTACGAGATTCAAATAAATTCAAAATTTTCTTGCCGGGTTTTTGACAGAATGATTTTTCTAGTAGTAGAATCTTCACCACATACAGTTCCATGCAGCGAACTGTCTCAGCGAAAAAAATACCTCAAGGTAAAGATAGCTCATAAACCGCTGAGTTCACTATACCTCCTTCGCTAAAAGCCCGAGCGGCCTTTAGGTGAATAAGTGACTTCACAGTTTTAGGAGGAACACAGTGTACAAATGGATTTTGAGTCGAATCATCGAAAAAATTGTGTTACCGTCGAATATAACATTAATGGTTGTCGCATCTCATCTGCATTATCTATATAATACTGACATTACGAGTGTCAGGCTTCGTTAAACTTCATATGTGTTCAAGATCTTAATGCATGATCTATGGCAGGCGTCTCTTCACACCTCGCTTAGTGTCGTTTCCACTTTTCAAAGATACTGGATCGTTCCGTGAACGACGTCCTCCCCAATCAACTTGGCCTTTTGGTGGATTTGTTATTTATTTTCAGTTTAGCTAAACAACGACGACAACGATGCACAAGCGTCTCAGCGCTTAGTTTTTGAGTCTCTCTGTTTGCCTTGCCTTGCCATGCCATGCCATGCGAGGATAACATGCAATGCTGAGCGGAGCAGGCGACAGGCCC